GGGAACAAGGGGGAGGGGATATATATATATATAAAATATTTTCCAATCCGGACCAGTCCGGACATGATGATCCAGACCATCCGGACCGATCCGGACGTGGTCCGCACGGTCCGGGAATGCGGACGTCCGGATTGCAACCGGACCGACCGGTGGTCCGGCGTCCGGGTCCGCGGTAGCCATGTACAATACCCCACAATGTTTTTTTTTGAAAAAAAATTGGACCATTTCTCGATTTATGCATGTCATCCTTGTGCAGGGGCCATGCTAATCTTCTCTGTATTGTTCCAATGTTAACGGATGTCCCGAAGGACACAATACCCCGCAATGTTATTATTATTATAAATATAATAATAATCTGGGCTGCCAGTTGTCCGATGGGGAGACGTCTTCCCCGAACGTCTCCGGGAGACGGTCAGAGACGTTCAGGGGGGAGTTCTGAGCAAAAACAAAAAAAAAAATCAGATACGGTGTGAGAGGTGTGATGGTGGGTTGTTGGGGGGGTGTTGGATTGATTGGGGAGTTGAATTGGAGGGCCTGCTGCTGCACATGCAGCGACTTCAGCTGCTTCGTCTAACGCAGCGTGTGGGCCATCCGCTCTGGCAGATGCAGCATCTGCAGTGGCAGCGGCATACACACACACACACACACACACACACACACACACACTGTCTGCACACACCCACACATTATGTACACACACACAGATGGACTGTCTACACACACAAACACACACCGACACCCTGGCACACTCACACTCAGAAGGAAATAGTAGCAAGGCCAAGGCAAAAGTTGTTCAGTTTATTTTTCTGCATAACATAGAGTTTTATTTTTTATTTCAAATTTGATAAAGAATTTCGATGTAACCCCAAGGCGGAAGTTGTTCAGTTTATTTTTTATTTCAAATTTGATAAAGAATTTCGATGCAACCCCAAGGCAAAACTTGTTCAGTTTATTTTTCTGCATAACAGTTTTGTTTCCGAATGTCTTGATTTTTTTTTTCTTTTTTTTTTGGTCATTCGGGCTTCGGACAGACTGCCCGGACAGGACGTCCGACCAGTTGTCCGATCGGACAACCTCGGACGGTCAGGGGGGTCCCGGACGTCTGATCTGGTAACATAGATAATAATCCTCTCGTTGACGATGCTCTCTTTTTTTCTGCTTCTTTGCGCAGCTTGTGCTGATTTGCCAGCCCCTTCTTGATATCAGCTTGCACTGATTCTGCAGGTACCTGGACAACAATTTTTTGAGTGGTCCGATACCTCCGAAGCTCCGAGCGAGGTCAGAGAATGGTACTCTCAATGTAACGTAAGTACGCAGGCAGCATGCTGAGGATGATTTTTTTTCCCTTCCCAGCTTCAGGTAACCAAATATGAACTGGTATCATAGGTACTTTCACTGCAAAAGATGCAAAAAAAAGCAATCCATTATCCATAGCTATATTTGACGTCGTTTGCTAAATTCTGTTGTTAATAAGATTTGTAAATCAGTGGTTCCCCTTGCACACAAAATCAATAAAATAGCTAAACGCGTGAAAACGGATCCAAGAAAAGTATGTAAGAAAAGCTGATACGCTGCTCGTATTTTTCTCTGTCTAGAACCCCATACCGCAAAGACAGTCAAATGCTTACTCGTTTTCGTGCCTTTGTGGGATTCAGACGTGAAGCGTCTGCTCTTCGAGCCGTAAGGTTATTAAGAAAAAAAGTTTAGAAAAACACAACATATTGAAAAACGATTTCCGTATACTCTTTTTGGTTTCATTGTACCGGTTTGACTAGCCAACAATGGCTACAATTGAAGAATCTTTTATTTCCGTCACTCATGGTCAAACTTTGTTTCAACTTTCAACGGAGTGCTTTCTCTTCTCAACCCTTCACGATAGCACAGGACCTACCCACCTGTATTTTGTACTTGACTGAACTCGTACTTATTCCTTCGCTGAGTTCGCTAGTCTAATTTATAAGACAACCAAGAAACATAGTGATTGAAAAAAGTAACAGCTTACCATTGGGCTATTTGCCGGGAACCCCGATGGGTGTGCGGCGTGGGTGTGCGGCATCCAGGACGGTGGTGGTGTGTTAGGGTTAGCCTCGAAGTATATCATGCCTGATGCCATGGGTGTGCTTATGCTGTGAGATGTAATGCCTCATGCAAAAAGTATTTGAGTTTTTTTTTTTTTTTTGAAAGTTCGTCGGAACCATTGTAATGGTGAATGCATGATCTGTTGTTTGTCGACAGCTAGATGGGTGTACCTTCAGTCACAAGGCAAGCATATGACAACTGCCAACTGATGTATTATCCTCTTGCTTTTCAAGTTCTGAAAAAAAAAAATCTTGAAAAAAAAAAGCTAGGTTAAACCACCAGTACATGGCCCCAGGCAACTGGAGAACCTGTTTTGAGCCTCTCAGAAAATTTAGGAGGCCGAGCGCCGAAGAGAATATGAAGTGCATCGGCGGCGGGCGGCCTCTCAAAGGGGCGCGCGACCGATAGCGGGCATGCATGCACGGGTGCTTTAACGGGCCTTGCTCAGTTGGTACATCCACAAACTGTTGAAATATGAATCAGACCCAAGTTCGAATCCAGATACAATCAGATGACCATAATAAAAAATCGTCCGGATTGGTACACCCACAAACTTTTGAAATAGAGAGCCAGCCAAGCACGATGTTCAGGGACGCTGGACCCGCCCGGTTTCCAGCAGGTGCTGCTCCCCACCAATAGATGGAGCCTCCCCGAAAGTGATAGTGGTGTCTGCTCCTATCAGCACCCCTAGCATCACCTCGGGATGTTCTTCGGAAAAAAAAAAAAAAAAAGAGATATCATGGTCTAACTGACTGGGGGCTGTCTCTTATACACATCTAGATGTGTATAAGAGACAGGCTGGACCCGCCCGGTTTCCAGCAGGTGCTGCTCCCCACCAATAGATGGAGCCTCCCCGAAAGTGATAGTGGTGTCTGCTCCTATCAGCACCCCTAGCATCACCTCGGGATGTTCTTCGGAAAAAAAAAAAAAAAAAAAAAAAAAAAAAAAAAATCTGGGGAAAAAAGATGTTGTCCAGACTTGCAATGCAAATGAGGTTTTTTTTTTTTTTTTTTTTTTAATAATTTGGACCATTTCTCGATTTATGTGTGTCATCCTTGCGCAGGGGCCATGCTAATCTTCTCTGTATCGTTTCAATTTTAATGGATGTCCCGAAGGACTGCGAAGGAGTTGTGGCTGAGGGTCACATCAGAATTTCTCACAGAATCGGAGATAAAAAAAGAAAATAACAGAATTACACTAAGGCACCCCCCTTTAAAACCCTTTAGCCCCTTTGAAACCAGTTTATACCCCTCTTCCCAGCCAACAACAAAAAAACGAAAAGAGCCCGGATTTGGCGTTCTCTACGAGAGCGCAGAAAACCAACACAAAAGGTTTTTTTTTTTTTTTTTCTTGCACGCCCGGGTACCGCTGGCGTCAGACCCCCGTGCGCGTCATGCCCGGGTGCCGGCCGGGCATGACAATCTTCCTAGGTGAAAACGAAGGAGGCAAGAAAAAGAGATGTGCCCGATCGCTAAGGTTCGCGTGTGTGTGTTGTCAGGTAACAATCGAAACACATTTGCTGAAGTACCAACTGGCTTAGCTCAGTTGGTACACCCATGAATAGTTGAAATACAGGCCCGAGTTTGAATCCAGATGCCGCCAGATGACCAGAATAAATTCATTCTGAATTACTTGTGTGAGGAATGAGGCCTCGCAGGGCCCTTGTCAGCCATGCACGTGTTCTGGGCTGAGGCCCCCCAGCAAGCCCTGTGCCCGCCCTAAGTGAATTAGGCCTGAATATCCACGCGAGGCCTATTTCCGACATTTTTCCATATGTGGGTACTTGGACAGTTTCAGCACGCCAGTTGGTTACAGGGAAACCTGAGCCTTCTGGCTCTTTCCAGAAATATGGGCTGCGCTGTACAGTTGAGCCCAGGGCCCGGGTGGTTGCACCCAGGGCACACGCAGTGTGAGGCCGACACATCACGCAGCGGCCACGGACGAATGAGAAAGCAGCATTGTCGTCACACATGAGTCGTGAGCCAATGAGAAAGCGGCGAACACTTGGAGGCTGCATCGCTGCCTGAATGTGCCTAACTGCACGAGGCCCAGACCAATATCAGGAAGTGGGCCTGGGCAGAGATACCTGGGCCTCAACTGAAGCTACTGGGGCCCCCACACGCCTGGCCAGGCCAGCCAGCCGTGACACAGTTTCCATAAAGTAAAGTGTGAGCCTCTGGCAGGGGCATTCTGGCCTTGGCAGGCAATGGGGACACGGTGCTGTGTTGCTGCGCTAGCATCTGCATGGGCCTGCTGGTCGGATGCGTGCATGGGCGCTGAGGTGAGGGCGATGTAAGGGCAGCGGGCGCACAGCAGCCATAGCCAGGCTGCAGGGGCGCAAGGCAGGTGATGGCGAAGGTGGTCTTCGGGTAGGAGGCGCATGATGTGGGGAGACGAGGGGTGATGAGGAGAGAGAGAGAAGATGTACCTGGTGTATGCTGGTGGTCGGCATTGGTGTTGACGTCACGTACATTGGTCTTCGACTTCGGTGTGATCCAGTAGCATGAACGTGGATAGGATAGATAGGCCGAGTAGAGTAGGCTGGGCGCTGAGCGCTGGACAGTAGGGGTGACATTGGATACACTGTTGGTGTGACCAGAGAGCGTCGGCATTGGCACTCGAGTTCATTGTATTGCTCTTATTTGGATGGTATCTTGGTGCGTTTGATCTCTTTGCTTTGTACTTGACGATCTGGACTACTTTGTGATTTTTCATTCTGGTTTTCTGTCTACCGCCCTCGCTCATATTCCTTGCACTTGGGGTCGGTCAGTTCGACAATGCACTCGAGTTCATTGTATTGCTCTTATTTGGATGGTATCTTGGTGCGTTTGAGCTCTTTGCTTTGTACTTGACGATCTGGACTACTTTGTGATTTTTCATTCTGGTTTTCTGTCTATCGCCCTCGCTCATATTCCTTGCACTTGGGGTCGGTCAGTTCGACAATGATATCTCAAGGCCGTCACCCTTTTTGAAAAAGGTGGTAGAGAAAAAATATATATATATAGTAATAATAATTTGCCGAAGACACCCAAGACCCTAGCTCAGTGGGTACACCCATGAACTGTTGAATACAGACCAGAGTTCAAATCCAGATGATGGTTCTAGATGAGTAAAACCAGATATTTCTGAATTGCCTGAATTGCCTGAATTGCCTGGGGCCTGTCAGCTCAATGATGATATCTCAAGGTCGTCGCCCTTTATTAAAAAAAAAAAAAAAAAAAAAAAAAAATGCTGAAGACTGAAGTAGTGCATGACATCCACTGTTGTCACTTCACAAAGCAAGAAGGGAAGGGACTACAATACCAAGTGCAGGGTTCCCACCAAGTAAACTTGCAAAGGAAGTGCATGCTTAGCTCTTCCACGAGGTATGTCGTCTGAGCGACACCCCTGGCAGAGCTTTCGGAGAATGAGCAATCCCGACTTACACCCTGCCTCCAACAACAGCACCTTCGGCTCTTCCCATATCTATGGGTTGGGGGCCTTAGGGCCACATACAACATGGTTTCCTAGCCCAATACATCAGTCTGCTTACATGACCAGTGCCCCACCCAGATATCCACAGTGCTGTCTGCTCGCACCTGGCTGTGGTCAGGTTGGGCCGACCGGGGGTGGGCTGCCCCAGGGACGGGGGCCATAAAATGTGTGTCTCGACCTCGTGGACTTTTTGCTCTCCCAAGTCTGATCTCCTCTGTTTTTTTCTCCAGAGTCTCAAGACGAAAGTTTTTTTATTTTATTTTAATAACATTCTTGGATTTAGGGTGCATACCGCTGTACAAGGAAACAGTAGGTAGAAAATTGGAAACAAAAACAGCCATGCTGCCCCCCCATTTCTTAAAATTTCCTCAGGAATGGCCCTATCAGGATCACCCATGTGGATGTCCAGACCCGGACATCGGGACGCGGAATGTCTGGATGGCAATCTGGACGTCTTGATCACAACCCATGGGCATTTTATGCCCCCCCTCCCTGGGGCCGACCTCCCTCGGGAGGCCCAACCTGACCACAGCCAGGTGCAAACACTTTAGAGTAGTTTGTACCTTCTTCTTCTTCTTCTTCTTCTTCTTCTTCTTCTTCTTCTTAATTTGTAGATTGTGTGTTGCTCTGTTTTCTTAATGAGAGTACCCTGTTGATTGTTGTATTTCAGTTTCACAGGAAATAGCGGCCAAGTAATGGACCGAGTCACCCGAGTGAATAATATTGGTCTTCTCAGCCAGCCGAGTCGCTCATCGCCACGGTCGACAGGACAGAAGCAGAGTATTTTCACGACACCTGTGATTATTGCCGTTGTTGCAGGTGTGATTGTCATTCTGCTGCTATGTACAGCAGGCTATATATTTTTTTTCAAGAAAAAAGGGCCCGAAGCCTCCATTGGACGACCTCTGACAGCACAACCTGCAGAAAATGCGCAAGGTAAGCCCTTTGATGCCGAAGAAGGGAGGCAGGAAAAGTTAGGTCTCTTCTCCTTGCTGTCCCGGTTTCAGAAAGTAAGAACGATGTCCTGAAGGACATGAATTCTGCATTTGATCAGCTGGCAGCTGCATTAATTATCCTTGTCAGCAACTTGCTTGTTCAATACACAGATTGCATACTATTTCGGCATAGTATTTCCATTATTCAACATGTTTTTTTTTTTGCATTTTTTTTCTTTTGTGTGTGTTGGGGGGGTGTTGGTTGTATAAAAAGCGGGAAACTCTTTTACTCGTATCTAACAGGGCATTGTCTGTTAGTCTTCTATGACCGCTGATCTCCAAACTAGTATATATATAAGAAAAGAAAAGGGAAAAAAAAAGGAGTTTCAACCTTAACAGGACACAATGACCTGCAGACTCTGCAAAGTCGATCCATTGCTATCCTCACACAATGTCATTGTCTTGTTGTATGAACTGTGTTCATCTTGTTCTAAACATGCCTCCCTGTGCCACCTTTATCTTTGTGGACAAGACGATTTGGCAAGCAAGAGCTGGCACTTGTTTCATCTTGGGGGGTTATCTGGATGGTCCCGATTATAACCACCCTTCCGAATCAGTTGCTGATGCCCTCAACCGCCATTGGGGCTACACCCATACTGATACGTTGCCTTATCTCTACCTTTTTTTTTTTTTGCCCAAGAACACACGCCCATTCTATTCTGGGGGCCTTTAGTCCGGTTGCTTATCACGGGCAAGCAATGTATTTACAACTGAAGAAAAGAGGGAGAGACAGACGAGACAGAGGGTCAGCCTATCCGTTGTGGCACTAGTCGCATAGCAAGGGGGGAACTGCTTTCGGGCCGACCCTCACCCCAAACCATAGCCTTTCGGAGGGTTGCCCTGCTGCCCGGGAGGCTCACTGGCAGCACCCAGTAGCCTTCGGAAAGGCGAGGCGCGGGGGGGCCACCCCTAACCATTCCTCTGGCCGCTTGTCATCCTGTTCCTGGCCTATTCCAGGCATATGCCAACCTCACTCATCGTCTCTACATCACCTGTACCTGTATCCCATGCTGCGTTCCAGCGCGCTCCATACTAGCCACTGACTTCCCCCGTGCGCGCTCCTGTGTCCCCTAAGCCAATCCTGATAACCTCCATTTCACCCTATTCACACTCGGTCGTGATTCAGTTCTTACCTTGCACCCCTTATGTACCTGTGGTAACCTATAACTAGTCTGCTATCTATCTTGCAAGTAATCCATCTTATCTCTACCTTTTGTGTGTGTGTGTGAGAGATGTGTGTGTATAAACACACATGTATATGATATCCCCAACGTGACATAATCACGAACACCATCAGTGAAACCACTTCAAAGGTGACACTGAAATAGTCTTGAGCTTGGACGTGAAAGGTCGTCACACATAGCGCCAGACATCACAGAGTACACAAGGCGGGCAGAAAACAAACAGCATGAACCAAAGAAGGAAAAAATCGAGGCAAACAGTAACCAGCCAAACTACAAAAAACGTACACAAAAAAAATAACAGAAACCGAAAAAAATAAAAATTGATGATGAAAGATTGTTTCGTCGGAATTGCACCGACTCATCAGGAGGCTGAACCCTCGACAATCTGCGGAATCTCCGTATTTGATGGTTTGGGTCATGAACCCTTTGACCCTTGTTGAAGGCAGACTGTCCAAAATGGAACACAGCAGCAAGCAGCAACCCTGTGAAGCACCAGGCAACACAGTAGAGGCAACAAGGCTGCACAACGCCAAAAGCGACTGCAAGGAATGCAGCGCGGCAGCCGTGCAGTGAAGTACAAGACAACACGAGCAAGGCAACGGCGCTGCAAGGAACGACAGGGCGAGCGGACCAGCAGCTCGGCAACCGTGGAGCGGAGCACAAGGCACCGGCAACAAGGCAACCCAACTACATGGCACACATGCAGCAAACACGGAAGGCACAACCAGCGGATGAGCAGCACGGCAGCGAAGCGCAAGGCAACACCAGCAACACGGCCACACCACACAGCGAACACAGCAATTCGCAGAGAGACGCACGCGAAGCAAGCGGGACAGGCAGCAGGGCAGCGGCGGAGCGCAGACGAGGACGTCCACACATCCAACACGGAGCAAAGCAGCACATCACCTACTCACATCACGGGTGAACCCCACAGACTGTTGGTTCCCACCACCCGCTGAGCCAGGGAGACACTCCGACGACCATCCATCATCTCCAACAGGCAACACAGACATCCCAAACCGAGTGCCCCCCTAAGAGTGCAGTTGGCACTCCAAACGAGGAACCACCGACTGTTTGGCACTACTTAAGGGTGCTCAGTTGGGTCAACAAAAATACTTAGAAAACGATCAGAGGGAGGATAGACAACAGGAGGAAAACAGACATACATAAAAATGATTGTGTGTGTGTGTGTGTGTGTGTGTGTCCCGCCTTATCTCTACGATATCCTTGAAGTAGAGATACATAGAGTGCTAGTAGTGTATGTACAATGTACACTGAGCAACAACAGGCTCAAGCGGGCTAGTGGCCAATCCCAAAGATCGTCTTGCTCTTGTCTCTACAGTATGTACACTAACAGTACATGTGTGTAACAGGGTGTGTTATGTTCGGCGAATTTTGCACTGAAACTGTCATATTCTTTGATTTTATTTTCCTGTTCTTTTTTTTGGGTGTGATATGTATGTGCTTTAGGCCCTTTAGGGTACGTCGTGTATTCAGTTCTCAGTCTTCTGACATATTTGGACTAAAGCAGAGAAAAAGTTACCATTTCGTTGAAATCGTTGAACGCTCATTTTAACTCAGAAATTTCTTGGTTCTTTTTATGTCTGCACTATCAGCCCATCCCGCTTGTTGTCAAAGTTTTCCACTTTGTTGCTTGTGGTGACATGGTGAAAACGGCGAATTTTCGGCCGGTGTTAACCATCTCTGGTGCAGCTCCCCACTGATAAGACTGGAGCTGTCAACAATGGAGGGCCACCGTTGGGGGCTTCTGTTATCACCACCAACAGTCAACCTCCAGAAGACTTTTTTTTTTTTTTTTTTTTTTTTTTTTTTTTTTTTTTTTTTTTTTTTTTTTTTTTTTTTTTTTTTTTTTTTTTTTTTTTTTTTTTTT